TTGATATCAACATATAGGGCGACACCACCACTGTGTTGTGACATGTTGACGCAGAGTCTATTATAATTAGGAATGTTATACAAATGGTCAATATCGTTAGTGAGTTTGGTCTCACAGAACCCAAGTACATCAAATTTGTGGGCAATAGAAGATAAACACTGATCTAAAAAGGTATCTATATGAAGGGAATACTGCTGATGTTATGGCTAATCAAGGAGAAGGAATGAGGTAGTAGGAGACTAGAACTAAACTCGGGAGTCAGGAAAGTAATAGTTACAGTTGGGGTTGGTGTAACCCAGTGAGTTTTGTAGAAAGGCATCAGGATCGATATGAGGGAGTATTGTGTCGACACCATGGGTGAATGGGGTGTAACACGTACGATATAGCACATCTAAGGGAATGGCACTAGCATCATCATTGTGGGAACATTGATACTGATTAAGGAACAGTAAGAACTCAGGGTCACTGAGGTGTGAAAAAGGAAGATCAATGAAAATTATAATAGTGGGGGGGGTATCGTACTCACAAGTGCTACAACCAACAGAATTAGGATGACCGGTGCTGTTGAGGGTGACTCCCAGATAGAGTGGGAGGTGCGCCTGTCACTCGGTTTTGAGGGTTGCTGGTTTCCTCCATAGAGGGTAGACGTGTAGTATTCGAGTTGGCCGGCGGGGGGGGAGACTCCTCAGGTGATAGCGACAGTGGCTGGTTCCCCCTCAATGGGGAGGGGGTTCTCAAGGGGCTTGGGGGTTGGAACAGCGGGTGGGCGAGTGGGCGGGTGTCCACTTGCCCGACTCCTCACAACAAGAGTTTTATGACTGAACGTCATGTGTTTCCCTTGTTTCCTGGCTTCTTTAAACTGGTCCATTTGCTGTAGATGGGCTTTAGTCGTACCTGGGCAGAGATCTGCGTTGATAAAACACTTTGTCACGGTCAGAGGGGGATGAGAATTTTGTTATGATGTCGCGGGGGAGGGAGGAGTTTGGTTTCCCGACGCGTTGAACACGGTCAAACTTTACTTCAGGAAGTTTAAAATGGTCATTCAGCAGGCGTGAAATTTTGCATTGGGATGACTCCCAGTTCTTGTGGATATCTTCAGGGATACCGACAATCCTGAGGTTGTTTCGCCGCCCTATGTCATCCACATAATCCACCCGGTCTGCTGTTGTCGTTAGTTCCGTTTTGAGCTTGGAATTCTCCTCACTCAGCTGTCGAACTTGGGTCTTGAGTGTTCGGTTCTCTTTAGCTACAACGTTCAACATTGCTTGTAGGTCACTTATTTCCCCTTGCGAGAATTCCAAGCTTCTTTTAATCTCACTTAGCCGGTCAGTGAAACGCCAGTCAGCCTCTTCTACCTTCCTGATGGTCTCCTTATTCATTTGGTGTACGATGTCCTGTATGAGAGTCCGTTGGACTTCCATTATCACATCAGTCAGCTGTTATTTCGTGAAATTTGAATTTTTGATACTAGCAGCCAACTTAGACATATTGGAGCTAGTGAGGGCTGAGTAGCTGGCAGTAGGGAGACGGTCAAGTTGTATGGTCAGCTGGGTGGCCTGGTGGGACGGTGGGGGTGGACAGGGCTCAGATTACATGCCGTGGCACTGAAGGGAGCTTGGTGGGCCTACACCTCATTTCGTAGACACAGATTCACCAGTAAATTGACAAATATATCTACTTAGGGGGATCACAGATAGATATTGTACTGGTCACGACACTCACTAGTTACTCACGAATCAGACTAGGTTCTCCTGGAAAGACCCTGTTTTTCGACGAAAAACACGGAGCTCCCACACAAACATCCCACCACTACTGTCTGGCCTGAAGAAGTGTGTCGAAGAGATGGCAACTAACAGACCTACCATTAGGGGAGAGAAGGAAAAATGGGAATGTTTCGATTGCAGGAACAACGTAATAGCTTATGGAGTCCCTGAGAGCCAGGCGGAGGAAGCACTAAATCAAGTATTGTTTCAATGGAATAATTTAGTTTGGCACTTGAGAGAAACACAAAATACTAAAAAGACTGAGAGTCTACCCAGATGCACCTCAGCCCATCTCCTAGAATAAACAAAACATTGTTTTTTGTAGTATTATGTTAAAACAAACACTCATAAATCAACACAGCTAAAATTAAGGGATGGAAAATGGTCTGTTTATTGGCTGGGAAGATGGGGGAGGTGAGGTGATATGTTTGACAGTTGATGCCAAGGTCTAGTGCTTATTTATTTATCTGTCCTTAAGAGTGACTAAGTTTTTCTTTTATAAAATGTCACTAAACTGACCTGAAAGAATACAATTAACATTGCTGCAATTCTTATAAGATAGTGATTAATTTGAAATAATAATGCTATAGTTTGCACTAGCCAAAAATTTTAGTAATCATTTAGTACATTATTTTGAGTACATGTAAAGTGCAGCTTTGCCCTTAGGACAGTGTAGCGTGTTCAAAGAAACATTAGGCGCGAATTTTAAAATATGATGCGCCAGATTGATTCGCGCAAAATAGGAAAGATTCGCTTTAAATTAAAACATTGTCCTTAATTGTGGGCGTCGCTTTAAATCAATAATCTTAAATTGAAACGCTTTAAATCAACGTTCTACTGTACAGAGGTTCTGAATTTGTCATCCCCCCTCAGGATCACACAAGTGAGGAAATTATTCGGCAGGCAAAAAACTTAGCAAGGAGCGAGACATTTCGGAATGTATTCATTCACCCAGATCACACGAGAATTGCTGTTCGACACCACAACCGCATCCAGCCCATACGTGCACGAACTGATCGCTATAAGAACAGCCCAGTCCCAACCATTGTAAAAATTATCAATAACTTGTAATAAATCAGTGTATTCACTCCCAGTAAACACTACTCCTTGCACTGTCACTATGTTGAAATGAACTGTAGTTTGAGCTTTTCCCCATCTAGTTATTATATGTCTTATTTGTGTCACTCATGTTACTTGTATATTATTTGTAATTCGTAACCCATTCCCCAAATATGTAACTGTATATTTTCAGCCTTCTGGCTGCCAAGCTCTTTCAATAAACCGTTAATTATTATTATTATTATTATATTACAGAGTGAACAGCACAGGAAGCTCATGCAGAACTTGAAGGACTTGGCAGAAGAAGTGATGTCACGGTTTTCAGTATGATTCGTTCAAACAGCAGTATCTGGCAACTTGGCGGGAGGTGAGCGAGTGGTAAAATTACTGGGTCCAGTTCGGTAATTTGGGCTGTAGCTCAGGCGTTCTAATCCTAATTCAAATCTGTTTCACCACAAATGCAGTCACAGAGTCGTTGTCAAGAGGTCAGCGCAGTGGGAGGGGAGGGGGCAGGAAGCACACAGCCACACGTCGGCAGACCAACCAGAGCAACTAGACCTGAGGCAGGAGATGGCCAGATTATCCACTATGAAGTGGGAGTCTCACCATTATCACTTCACATACTGGGAGCACAGAGAGATGACACCGTGTGGAGGAACTACGGTGGGGTGCAGATATTACCGGACTAGTGTGGTACTGCACGGTGGCCCCATTCAAGAGTCTGGCGTTGCTGTTTGCTGGAATGAAGTCGAAGTATTAAGGCTGTCCTGCAGGAATGTCTGACTTCGAGGACCAAGTGGAAGGGCCTGCCAACTGCCAGAGGAGTATTTGAGTCGAGAGGCCTCGACTGAAGAACCAGACGACTACTCTAGGTGACGTGGCCGTGCTATGGAGTGGCCATTGCCACTTCAACTCAAGACATTGTTTTTTCCGTTTTGTTTCTGTTTAATGGTATGTAAAATTTATATGTATTGTAATAGTGTTGGAAGTATGTGCTCGGTTAAAAGTGAAGCGTTTTATCCCTTCCTTGACTTGGAACTTGCTCAACTATATGCCGTTTCACCCGATCCGTCGTGTGGATCACTCATTGTTATACCTACAGTCCACATTTATCCACACACAACAGATGCCACTGTAGTAAGATGGTAATATTAACAAACTCCTCAACCAAACTTCTCACTTCTAAACTTTTCTGTCATTCTCTAAAATTTTGCAGATAAAATGCTTCAAGACGGGTAGCAAAAGTAAAAGAGCTACATCCCAACTCCACGCTTGAAAGATAAAGAAGATGTGAGCAGGAAAAAGGGGGCAGCCAGTCCCAGATGATACAGCAACACTTACTGTACTTCTAGTATACAATATTCCGCATGTGGCTTATTTCCTTGTTTACCAGTTGTTTTATTTTTACAGCAATATGAAAGGCATTTGTTATTCAAAAATTATTATTATTTTAATAAGGTTTCATAGAAGTTAGCAATTTAACCAAGTTTTACCTCTTTCATCCGTAATGAATGACAGTTGAACGTAAATCTTATGTTTTATATTTTGTTTTTATAATTATTTGTGGAAAATGTATCAAGAAACATTTATTTCAACATATAGTTCATCTAAAGCTCAACATTTTGTTTTGTGAATGTTTCCTGCCTTATGTCATCACCCATCCAGGTGGTGAATATGGAAAATATTTGTTTACATATTCATTATGGACGTGGTATAAGGGAGGTGAGCATCAATATTATTTCAAATCATATTTTTTATTCTACATTCATTTCAGCTCAACACAATTAATGTATACCTTTTCATTATGAGTCCAATTATGACTCGACAAATTATTCCTGTGTCCCTGAGTGATAATCTTGTAGCTATGTTATTATTTTGTTTTAAAATATACTAATACAGTACTATTTTAACTACGTACATGATTTATTTTACAATATTTGTGAAAAACTGCTTTAGAATACAGTACTGTACAGTATTGTGTTCCACCTCAAAACAATACAAATGAAAATAAAATGAGTTGCCAGATACTACTTTCTGATTGAAACATTCTGGAAGTCATGATATGATTCATTTGGGTAATTGCACGACACCTCACTTGCTCCAAGCAATATTTATGCTTAAACTGTATAACTGTATTCTGCTGAAAGGAAAAAACATGTATTTTGAGGATAAATTTACCTTTATGTACTTCTTGGACATCTGATGGGCAGTAGCGAGGATTAAGAACTGTTGGCATCACAAAGCTCACGCCTCCATCTGTCTGCACCTTCAACTCCATCACAAGACAAAGTTTAAGCTCAGCCTTTAGTCCTGAAATATTCAATACATACAGAACATTACTGCAGATGTACTGCATTTTCCTATTAATAAGTTATATTAGTAATTTTAGGTGAGAGGCTCATGTATAGATATTATTGTGAACCTTTATACTGTACTAACCAGGAGGGAGGTTGCCAAGAGCCATATGAAGCACATCTGAGGAGAGTTCATCTTCCTGTGCCAATAATGCTGTGTATCCAGCACTCACAGCCTCTTCATACACTTTCTGCGCCTATCAAACATACCACAATTATCAATACTGTACTGTACTGTACTGTACTCAAGGTGATTTATAATTTGTTACAAAGTGTTTTGAAAAGAAGGAATTAGTGACATTCAAGGAACTTTGTTAGTGTATGTATATTTTGGGCTGCAATCCCGTACCGTATATTTCCTACTGAAATACATCGGGTGATATCACATGATTCACTATTTTGCAATAACTCTCCTCTCATTCTGGCACTGCATGGAGAGTCTGCTGTAGTGGTCCCCAGCATTAGAGACCACAGTTGTGTGTCACCACAGATAGATCTAACAGAATTCCACAGTGATAACCTTATCAGTTAGTACTGTACTGTACATAGGTTGAAGCCAGTCAACACATGATAATAACCTTATCAGTTAGTACTGTACAGTAGTACCCCGATTTACGCGGTCAATTGAACCCACAGGGTACCGCGGAAAGTGAAAACCACGTAAAGTGAACAACAGAACATATGGGATTAATTCCAATAGAGACTGGCCCGACCCCCAAACTCCACTTTTTCAGACACAATACCTACGTTGTAGTAAAAATTACATCTTAATTTTATGATGGTATGCACACACAATTAATAATTAAGAGAAATATCAATAATATTAGGTTTTTTAACACTTACATTAGTAGAAAAGATGGCTGGGCACACGGGGATGGGGGGTTGGTTCCGAGGCAGAGGGCAGATTATTGGCCTTCACCTGTATCACTTGTATCAATTGTAACACTATCCACCACAGAGGCTTGCAGGGCCTCTTTGTCAAACCCCTCAAAGTCCATACAAGTCCATATCCTCACTATCACTATCACTGACTTAGGCCGGCTGTGGTGGGTGGCGGGTGAAGAACTCGGTAATGTTTTGATGACTGGGCGACCTTGTGCACATCCTGCCCGCGCCGCTTCCCGCGTATATGAGTAGATACACCGCGGAAAGTGAAAGTTCGGTTCTGGCGAGGCACCGCGTAAATGAGAAATCGCGGAAAGTGAAACCGCGTAAAGTGGGGTAATACTGTACTGTACATAGGCTGAAGCCAGTCAACACATGATAATACAACTAAGATATTTGTTTGAAGGACATGTGATGCTAAGACAAAATATGAGGTAAAATCCTAATAAACCTGTACTGTACTTGAGGAGTTGAGCTCAAGACAAAATAAATACATACATAAAGTACATTCTTGCCATGACTAGTGCTGGTGAATTTTTTGAGGACTATAAGAGAGAAAGATTGCTAGTCAGGACTGGAGGTTGTTACCACCATGTCGTATTCTTCTATTATTTTTTATAACATGCTTCCATGTTATTCCATATTATTCCTGTAATGATGTGTTATATTTACTATTATATATTCTAGTCACCTTACCCTGTGCTGTTAAGGTTTTAACTGTTATTATTTGTTCACGCCCATCTTAATTCTTCATTTAGTATTGCAACAAGCATTCTTTGTTTCTCTAACGACCATCTGCATCGTTAAACGACCCATGTTTCACCGGTGTGTGGCACTGGCGGGAGCCGACCTTATATATAGTACCCCGCTAGCAGATGGAGTTCAGTCCAGTCCTTTTGTCATTCAGTTCACGTTCTTTTGAGTGACAAACAACAAGTCCGCAGATTTTTGGGTTGTGTGGGTTATTACCGGAGATATATTTGTAATTTTGCCAAGTTGGCACTACCCCTTACTGATTTGTTGAAGAAGGGTAATATTTTTTGTTGGACTTCAAGGTGTCAGGATTCTTTTCAAAGCTTGAAAAATGTATTATGCTCATACCCTATTTTGAGAGCCCCTAATTTTTCTAAGCCTTTCAAGCTAGCCTGTGATGCTAGTGATCATGCTGCAGGTTCTGCCCTGTTGCAAGAGGATGATGACAGTGTAGACCACCCAGTGGCATTTTATAGTGAAAAATTCAATCCAGCTCAAACCCACTATGCAACAGTGGAAAAAGAATTGCTGTCAATTATCCTAGCTTTGCAACATTTCAGTTATTATTTATTACCAAGTAGGCCTATTGTAATTTATACAGATCACAAACCATTGCAGTTTCTCAAAACATTCAAGTTAAAAAACCAGAGATTAATTCGCTGGAGTTTGTTCCTTCAGAACTATAATTTACATGTTACACATGTTAAGGGTTCAGACAATGTGCTGGCTGATCTGTTATCTAGACCCACAGAATGAACACTTATGTCATATCAAAATTTGTGCAAGCAAAAATTTTATTTTATAGGGGGAAGTGTTACGACCGTGTTGTATTTTTCTACTATTTTTTATAACATGCTTCCATGTTGTTCCATATTATTCCTGTAATGATGTGTTATATTTACTATTATATATTCTAGTCACCTTACCATGTGCTGTTAGGTTTTAACTGTCATTATTTGTTCAAGCCCATCTTATTTCTTCATTTAGTATTGCAACAAGCATTCTTTGTTTCCCTAACAACTATCTGCATCGCTAAATAACCGATGTTTCACCGGCGTGTCGCACTGGCGGGAGCCGACCTTATATATAGTACCCCGCCAGCAGACGGAGTTCAGTCCAGTCCTCTTGTCATTCAGTTCACGTTCTTTTGAGTGACACCCGTCACCCGTTACTTATACTTTATTTTATTTCTGTGTTCCTGTCACCACCAATGTGGTATATCTATGTGAGTACCTATTCATGTCTCTTATGTGTCCATCAGTGCTTGCTTAGTTACATTTAAGTAATTCAGTGTTGTTTCACGATAGTTAATTTCAGTGTTAGTTATTTTATATGTTTCTGCAGTTTTAACGTAATCCAGTGCTTTATTTTTATACTACATATATTGTTTATGCAGTTCTTTTGATGTTTCGATGTTTCAGTATCATTTGTGTCTTAAAAGTTTCGATAGTGAATCAATTTGTTGTGACAGCCTAAGAGGCTCTTTATTGTGTTAGTATTTAATGTAATTAAATTCTTTGAAGTTTACTTTATTTATTTTTATTCCCTTTTGATTTACTTCACTTTTTTTTGTTTGGTTACGCATAGAACCTGGATATTAAATTAAATTAAGAGACGGCATAACAAGGTAGAAGGATCCTGTATGATGGATAAATTATAACAAGTCGATAGGATATTTCTTTGGAAAATAGAAGAAAGAGCTGACAGAACACGGGGCATTAATCACTCAGAACTACATACAGGTTTTGGCAAGATCTAAAAATGTAGAATGAGAGCAGGTCAAGCAACAATTAAGGACTCTCTAGAAGTATGGAGAAACTCAGATACTCCGTACTGTGTATGTAGTCCCTCATAGTCAGTCAGCAGTCATAAAAGAAAGAATACATTACACACATAATCTGTAAGGAAGATCTGGATATGACAGTTGTTACAAACAATGTGTCACAGTAGAGAATGACAAGCAAAACATTTAGCAGTCAGAAACAAACTTCTCACATCACACAGTAATAGAGGGAAGAGCACAAGAAACTATTAATGAACATGAAGCAAAAGACAGATGATTAGAGGAAAAAATGAGTTACTAGTGAGTTATACACAAGAGGAGAGT